AATCATTGTGGAAAATCCACTAAAATTCCTCAGAACTGTTTTTTAATTTGCAGGAAAACTTTCAGGACTACTTTGGCCACCTATTATAATTAATATTTGCTTCCAGGCTGCCTTTCTAGTATCTCTAGTACTAGGGATAGTAATTCTAACTTTAGTGACCCTGTGGCATCTCTCAAAATCTTGCATCCATAATTACTATTACTATCACCAAATGATTTGTGCAACAAGGTCCCAGAAATATGAGATCAAAAAGAGAAGACTGCAAGACTCTCCCACTTTCCTTTATTTTGGGGATGACATTCAAGTTTTGGACCTGTCAATATTAAGGAAAATGAGCATTGGTAAGCACCATTCACTATTGTAAGTCTAATAAAAAGACTGACATATTAATACTAATACCAGCATAGTAGATCGCGAGGAACTTTTATTCACAGCAAGGTACTCGCTAAAGCCAGTTTAAGCTGTAATACTAGCATAGTACCATCCCACCATTTGAAGCCCGTGGAATGTAAAAGACCATCGTCTTGTTACACAAAGTACTTGTAAAGTACCATTGCTATGGTACAGCGGTCTTTATTATTATATCACCATATATTCCTAAAACCATCTAATTATCGCCTTCAAGATCTACAAAAATATCATTCTCCCTATCGGTTTGATCAATGCTAATCTCTCGTTATCGAATATCAACTCATCCTCCGATCATCCTCCTTACCACAACATTTGAATGCGCCTCTATTAAATTCGCTATTTCATCCCAATAAAATATCGATTTACATACTCTTATCATAATAATAGCCCCTTAGTATAATACCGTTATCCACCATCCGGTGTATATATATAGTAATAGTACCCCACAACGGAATTTTGTAAAATACCACTGGTACTTTAGCCCGAGAAATACGGTAATACAGATATAAATGCAACTAAAATTTGTCAATAAATTCATGGGTCACAGCTGTGAGAAATGCTTTTCTCCTCCTCCTCTTTTCAGCATTACTATTATTATTGATCCGATTATTCCACTACCACTATGCATGCTTTCATTGATTTCAAAAGCATTATCAATAGTAATAAGTTCGTTATCTAGTAATGGCGTGTTCATAGGCAGTTGGGATCGAAGATTCTCCGTAAGACCTACAGTATTATCTAAATTAAGAAATTCTTCGGTTGGCTCACACCAGACTGGATTTGGGATCAATTGATAACCAACGCGTTTGGTTTCAAGACTGTTGATCAATTCTGAATTTGTGAGCAAAGAACAAGTTGAGTAAAACCTTTTTGACTTAGACGACAAAGTTCGGCTTTCTATTTTCTCAACCTTTTACTTTGTCAGTGTGATCGATTTGCTTTGCAGTTGGTCTACCCGTTTTTTCGGAGTGCGCTGGCGTCCAATAAAGTGTTATCTGAAAATGGGAAATTTTTTGGTATTACTCTTTTCTTATAAAGTCACGCACAGAATTCCTAATATTGAGAGACGTATAATAAACATCTTTATAAAGATAAAATTTCATAGTAAGAATCCGTGCCAGCAAAAAGCTTTCTTTTTTTAGAGCCATTTGTACCACTTTGTTACTTGTATAACCACTTCTTCTCGCAACAACAACAATGTAGCAATGGCACATTCTGCAAGCTTTAGTTGTAGTTAAATAAAAGTCCGAGCCCGTTAATCAACACAAAGCTGTCAACACAAATCAAATTTCAGGTTTAATAGGCAACATTTTATAAAAAAGAGAAACATCTGCATTCACTTAAGACTTTTTTTATGTAACTTATAAATATCTGGTAACAACAATTAGAATCTTCGTGTCTCTCGAAGAATTTGCTGATATCCGCCTAGTGAATTTCCGATACCAATTACGCTGAATACTATCGGTAAGTTCTCCGATAAGTGTTTCATCTGCCTTAACGCTACCGTAAATTTATATTGGTATTATTTGTGAATTCATGACTTGCATCTTCAGTGTCACTTTAATCGATTTATTATCAGCAGCGCTGTATATTACGGTTACATTGATAACCCTTATCCAACAATTTTGATTTTCTGAAACAAGTTTATCTGAGGACGAATTATCTGTATTTAGTTTCATCTTTAAACAATGCAATCATGTAATGTTGGACAACCAAATGAGAAGATGGTTATATTGATAAGCATTGTGGTCTAAGATTAGGAATGACACGATAATGATGATTGTTGACACGAATTCTTGCATTGTAATAATAATATTATTGACAAAGTAAATTATAATCTCAAAAATGTCCGTTGCTGAATTACATGTCTTAGCCGAAACTAACTGTTCTATTGTAACGCACTTGAATAAAATTATCGATTTTATCAAGAACGGCATTTCCAAGTAAAACAACATGCTAATTTTCAAGACACTGATATACAGTGTTAGTATCTTAGCGTAATAAAATTGGAATCAAGTAAGCGTGAGATAAATAATAATGTTTGAAAAAGGTTTCTTAGCATTTTCCAGGTACAAATATTGAACAAAAAAAATATACATTTACTGGATTAGTTGACTAAAAACTGACTAATTATTTATCTTGATGACCATGACGGAAATCACAAATAATTCTAATACAAACAACCTTGTAAATCGTAAATGCGTGTGTATTGTGTATTAGACTCGATTCGACAAAGGATGAGAAAGAACCGGTAGGAGTGCACCGTTATAGCACCGTCGCTTATTACGAGTATTCCCTATGAATGCAACATTAAATATGTACATTCCAGCAACTCTTTGTCATTGACAGTAGGTTGTGAGTCGCTGACTTTCAAAATGTTACGTGACGCCATCATCGAATGATACATTTTTCCCAGAGAACCAACCAATAATATTGATAGTTTATTAAAAGTCGGTTTCACCAGAGCATTATGCTCAAAATAAAGAAGATACCATTCAAGAGGTTGGGCAGTAAATGCCATGCATAGCAATATATTAATTTGTCTGAGCAGGCTCGCAAAGAATTCCTCGAACACGGAAAAGAAGAGTTTTGTTTGAGATTTTGTTTAACATGGAAATATGCTTTCGATGAGTTTACTCCGAAACACACGTTTGCCTTTATTGAATTTGACGTCTATAATTACTACCAAACCAATTGTTTATCGCATGAGTATTCGAAACATTTTTTTTCTCTTTCAATTTAAGCATTCATCCTCGTCCTTATTGTTTATTATAGGTTGTAGTTCCTGGTCTAATTTCCTCAACTGATTATAGTTTTCTGGAAACAATTAATTCCTGTACCCTTATTCCTTTTGATTTTGGTTGGACGAATAAAAGACTGTAACGTCTGGTCGATTATCTGATATGAAAGAACTTTCGGGTAGAAAAAAAGGGTTGCTTTCCTGATAGTGGTTGGTGTTTTGAGCGACATTAGTATTGATTTAGAGTTACGAGAAGCAACTATTCAAGTAGCTGAATTTAAACTTATCTTTATAACGCATTCAGTCACATCTATAAACGCCTAGACAAGTATATAACTGGCTGTACGTTGGACATAATAGATTTGCACTCATTATTTGTAACACTTGCGATTTAAGATTCTAGAGCTTAAACATGGGCATAAACGCACGTGGATATTTTACTGCTTGGACCCGTGAACCCGAATATTCCGCGTGTTAATAATTGGTTATGTCGGCAAAATCCCTTCGAACCGTTTGCTAACGACAAAGTATGTGATGCAGGTTACGCAGATAATTTTGTAACATGCCACCAATCAATTATATTCAATGCTAGTAAATTAATTTAGCACCCGATACGTTTACTATTTGTTACGTGTAACAATATCGGCTGACAGCAAATCGACAACCTTTTATTTTCAGACCACATTTAGATGCAAGTGTCCATAGATGGTCAGCCAACCGATCACAATAGCGTATATATATTCTTTGCTATGATACGTTTCTACGACTTTATCATGCCAGCTGATTTAAACTGAATGAGCTTTAGTGCATAGATAATCCATTTACTGAAACCATTAAAAGAAAGTAACAGTTACAATGTTAATTATTATGAACTTGTACACATAATTGTGTTATTACCATGAATGATCGTTAAACTGTTCAGAACTGGAATTCATTACAAAATAAGTTTAATCGTATCACAAGATTGTTATCGGCTATTCTCTTGGTACGTGTCACTTCATTAACACATTATAAATATTAATTTGTCGATTTGGATGCTCGGTTTTCTGTTCATTTTGGAAATTACATCGCACCAAATAAATCGAGCCTAGCCAAAGATGGAAAGCCAAGCGAGATTATAGGTTATACCGTAGATCAATAGCTAGACTATTCTGTGACACTGATATGTTGCCCCTAATTTAAAATTAATTAATTGGCAAATGCAAATGTAGCACTATTACTATAATATATGTCAACGGGAATGATATATACACGCCAAGTTAGGGATTGAATACACTTTTTTTGATAGGCATCTGTTGGATGACAGGAGCGTCCACTAACAGCAACGTGAAAGCACAAACACCGACCACTCAAAGTGGAAAATAGGTTCTTAACGTGTTTGTCACTTTTACTTTACCACAGTCCTTTTAACCCCGCTCTTCCATTTTTTTCCTCTTCCTTCCTTTTCCTTCTTTTCCCTACCTATTCCTATCCTTTCCCTAACTTTGGCAAGCCAGAGATCTCTCCCTCCTTCTCCCCTACAATATCTTCGTCTTTCATATATATTCTTATTATATATTACACTTGCTTTGTTCATCCGCTTCTCCGCATAGACCAGAGTCGTAGGTACTTGTCTGTTGATTGTAAAAGTTACGCACATCTGTTGAACTGTTAACACGTTTAATAACAAACTTGTTTTCACTTATTTCTGGATTGTTCGCCTCTCCCCTACATTACAACATTTACAGACACAACCTTCAACTCTATTTCTCCTTATTCGTCTTTCCTCTCTCTCTCTCTTTTCCCGCTTTACGTATCATACATTAATAGACATATAATAGACACATTCCCATCCCATACACGTCAAATAATGCGCGCCACATCCCTCCTTGCACTCATATTCCTTTCCACGTCTTTCGTCTCTCATCAATCTATCGCTGCTCCAGCAAGTTCGCCAGTCTCTTTCGGTCGAGAGTTCTTCCGCCCAAGAGATTTTGCACAATATGGCATACAGATCGATGGTCACCATACAGCCAAGGCTATCCGGCGAAGAGGTTCTTTATCCAAGCGTTTCCTTCAGGTAAGAACGCCCCAACATATCGAAGGAAAGCGAGACGTTAACAATCCAAAGAAGCCCAAGGATAAAGCTGTCGTTCCGAATCCCAACAACAACAACAACAACAACAACAACAACAACAACAACAACAATCCCAACAACAACAATAATAATCCCAACAACAACAACAATAATCCCAACAATAAACCCGCCCAACCTCCCAACGGTAATAATAAGCCAGGTAAGAACCGGTCATTTGAGAGCGTAATATTAGCTTGAAACGAGAGACTCCAAACCGAATTCGATCTCGTTTAATTAAAACTTTTTACTAACATCATTTCGTTCGATTCGAAAACCAGATAATCCCACAACCACCACTGCTAAAGGCAACGATACACCTACAAAAGCTCCGACAGCATCCACTTCAGCGGCCAGTACGGGCGCTGCCACAAATGGCACAAATCCGAGCTCAATCTATTCTGATCAACCCGTTCCAACTGGCACCCTGTCTACAGGTGCCATTGCTGGTCTCAGTGTTGTAGCAGGTATATTCGTAGTAGGCGCTATTATCTTTGCATGTGTTCGCAAGAAGAAACGTGATGAGAGAACGTCAGCTATTGTTGCCAAATCGGCAGTGGCATTTGAGCAACAGACCCATGACTACGAGAAGCTAGAAGAACCAGAATCACTTGGTACATTTACTGTCGTCAGCACGTATACACCGAACATGGATGATGAACTAGAAATACAGCCCGGAGACAAGGTTACAGTTCTAGTGACTTATGATGATGGTTGGGTGCAGGGTGTTAATGAGACACGCGATGGAGCAAAAGGCGTCTTCCCGCGTCATTGTATAGATATGGATGGCAAAAAGACAAGCACGGCCTACGAAAAGAGAAGTAGTTCGATGAACGGATTTACGTCTGTAAATCTCAATTAGATAGTCTACATCATAATGTTTACTGGCTGTTCACAGTTGTTGTTTTTTTGTCATGTTGTCGTTGACTTTCGACAACACTTAATCAAACTTTTGCGTCACGCATTCGGTTAATACTTTTACCTTTGTTTAATAGGAATGTAATGGGAGGGTGTTATTTAACTACCAAACGTCTTTCTGTAATTTTTATCGTATGTGCAGTGAAAAAATAAGCACAAGATGCGATGCTCTTTTAGCATCTGGCCACGATATTTACTGTACTTAATTTCATAGTCCTTTTATTTCTCACAACAAAAAAAGTAAAAAAGTACATTTCGAACTTAGAGTAAGAACGTTCCCATGCGTGATGATATTTGTACATAACAATTTAATGGTAGTTGTAGTGATAGTAATAACCCTTATTTCTTTCTTTTTTTGGTAGTATCGTCTCGTCACGTGAAATAATAAATATTAGAGTCGATCTCTCGTAGCACCATATCGTAATGAAAGTCCATATTGGGTTCCCAATTGAGTAACTATTTTAGGTTTCAAAAGATGACTGCGAATTCTTCTACGAAATAGGTCACATTCTTAGTATTAAGTGATATGATACTATTATTGTTTCATCTTGGAGCAATCTCATACTGTTCGGGTAAATTCTACTCGTATGCTACGTTTCGTGAAGCTGTAATTTCCGCTGTTTCGAAATAAAGTATTGATTGATTGTTGACGTTCACATTTTTTAAGTCTAAATATAATACATAAAAATCGTTGTTATTTTTTTATCATGGCATGCGGAAAGAGCACAGCAGGAAAAAAGCATATTAATATGGTAAGTTGCTCATTAAAACACGATCAACCCTAATTTTCGGCGTGTATGTTAATGGTGGACGCAAAATTAATACTAACACATCCATAATTGTGAGTCATAGTATATAAAAGGATCTGTCATCAGTTAATTTGAATGACACTTGAATTTCTTTGTGGTATTTTATAAGCCAATAGCAGCAATTGTTGACTTTTCTATCGTTGTGAAATATGCAAAATCGCATTTTCACTAAATGTCGGAAGGTAACGAGAGTGACAATTTTTGTTCGTTAACACCATGTTGTCAATAACCTGACCAATAAATGTGCGTGATAATTTATTTATTAATTACCATCTTGTAATTGCCTCCTCCAATGTCTTACAAAATTCATCGCTATACCTAATTAAATGAATAATCAAGTCGTTAGCATGACGACTTTCCCACAACAATACACAATAAAAAAAGGTTCATTGTTTCAGAGAGACAAGGCCCTGAAATGTTTCATCACATCAAGGTTTCACGCGAAAGAGCAAAGTCCCTAACCGTTCTTTACAGAACGACAAAAACTTCTCCCTTTGCACCCCGATTCACGAACAAGGATGATAACAATGTCTTCATCATCACCATATCTACAGACAGAACCCATTCACCCACACTAACCTCAAACGAATCTCAATGGTAAAACTGGCCAGTATACAACGTCATTGCCATCCTTGTTACCATCGGAAACGGCTGTCTGAAATTTGAAATTAACCAAAGACTCGAGAAGTCTGATCTCTTCATGGTTATTACCGTAAAGACGAGTATAATCCGATTGGGAAAATGGACAAGCAGGTGTGTGTGATGGTGGTATTTCGGTGACGTATGCCGATGAGGAAGAGTCAGATAACGTAGGAGAGCCAGGTGGCTGTCCCTTGGAACTTGACTTTACTGTCAATCATAAATAAAAAGTTGATCAAAACCCTGAGGGAAGAAAAAAGAAAAGAACAGCACAGAAAACAATTTTCAACAAAATCGTACCAGATCCACGAAACCGATTCACTTACACTCTTCTCTTCTCATTTCTGAAAAGCGAAACATGGCAATGGCTTCTTCACTCAACACGAATTCCACTCCTTCCCCATCAATTTCTTCCTCTTGCCAATTTTCCTCTTCTTCCTCCTCCTCCACTTGCGCGTCATGTTCAGCTCTCTCACCTTGCCGTTTCGTCCATTCGCTCCATTCCGTCGATTCACTATTATCGATTATATTCCATAAACCATTCGGCGAAGGGTTCAAAGCCTGACGGAAAAAGTCTCTGTTAGGTAGGAAATGTGTGCGGTGAAAATCGCGGAATCGAAGGACATTTCGAGGCTGATCTCCGGGCGTAAAGCCTGGTGGAGGTACGGGTGATGGAAAATAAGGAAAACGCGAATAAAAAGACTGCGAGAAGAGAGGAGGGAAGGACATGGAAATCAAACAGAGTACATTGACTTGGACCAATTCAATTATTCTTGCATGTCACGTGGAATGTAAAACAAAAAATTTTTTTGTATCCCACATATTCGGGATCTATCGCTATACATTATTACTGTTCTTTGTCAATTAATCGCCAGACTCAAAATATTCCTTGGCTATCTAAGTACTTTTCTCCAACCCACAAAACTTTCTTTTTATGTTCAGAGGCTTTGATCTTTGTGATTCACCAAAAAGAAATATTAGCCAGTCAATAAACTTTCGATTCGTCGTTTATGTACCGTCATTGCACGCACCCAACTGTTTTCTCAGAAAACACCTACACGTCAGCAATTCGCTGCGTGATGTGGAGCGTTTGATGGTTTGTCCTTACAGACTTGGTAGTTGTAATCATTGTCTGCTGGTGATGTACCGTTTCATTTTGCGGGAGAATGAATGTTAATTGAGCCCACAGATCCGTTATTTCCATTTTTAGTAACACAACATTCTTTCCCCTGATATTAATCACGCTTGTTCAGTTGAGCGGTTTTTTCCCTCTTGAAATGTCTATACGCAATTTGTTTCCAATGCTCTCCAAATATACAGCTTGTGACATTTCTGATGCTCTTTTAAAACTATCTCATCCACACGGTGGCTTCCTCCCCGATCTCACGATGTTTTCACCATCTTCCCATACTTCATCCCGTATACTTGGGCCAGCATATACAGTAAAACTTGTACCGAGTTCAGATGTGTCACCAAAGCTAGGTGAGCATTTTACCGATACTATTCCGGAAGGAAGTGTCGTTTTTGTTTCTGCGCCTGCAGGAGGAATTAATGCCGTATGGGGAGGGCTTTTGAATACGAGAGCCAAGTTGAGAGGAGCGAAAGGAGTAGTCGTTGATGGGAGAGTGAGAGATCTGGATGAATTGAGGAGCGAAGACGTAATGGTGAGTTTATCGAGGAAAAGTTTGTGGTATGAGTAAATTATCTGGTGTGGCTTGTCTTGTTGGCTTTACGATCAGGTGAATCATTTTCGTCTGCCTTTGACCGTTCTGCGATTTGTTAATATATATAAAAAGGTGTTTGCTCGCGGTTCTTCTACATTGTCAGCCAAGCCATTCGCACGTCCGTCCGAGATAAACGTTCCGGTTACGTTGAATGGGAATTATGATCCACCTATTGTTATCAAGCCGGGAGATGTCATTGTTGGGGATGTCAACGGTGTTGTGTGTGTTCCCGCTGAATTAGTGGACCAGGTTGTTGAGTTATGTGAGAAGCTTGCTCCGGTGGACGAGAAAGTAAAGGCGGCATTACTTGAAGGGATGAGTATTACGGAAGCGTTCAAAAAATTTAGAGGATGACTTGCTTGTCATCAGAATATGCGTTTGTCTAATGTTTATAGAAGATAACAAATCAAAATCTATTTTGTAAATCATACCCAAACAATAAAAAAATTTTATGCCAGTTAAAACTTCCAGCTGTCCCTCCCCAAGCCTTTGTTTGTTTGTTTTTTAACATTTCCTGGATTGTTATAAATTAGAAGACGTGGCGACATTTTACATTTATTTACAATAAAGTTTTTGTTACACGCATATAATAAACTACTACAAAAGTTACAATACTGCAATGTATCATCATTCGTGACAGTAAATGACGATTAGAATTAACGTGTTTCAGACGAGATTGACGGATGCTAATTGTTATGTCAAGATTGCATAATAGGATCGTAGAACATATCAACCGAATTAAGACATCAATCCTTCCTGTGAGATTAGGCTTGCACTATATTACAGAACTTGGTGTAATTTCTTGGTGACCATGAACTATAGTTGTGACCATGCGTACAAAAACGCGCTAGCACTAGGACATTTTTGTCACGCGCTCTATAAATATTTATAATAATATAGTAGTTACACGCAATTATTCTTCACGTGATAGGTAGTTATAGTAATATCTACTCAATATATCAATCAGGCAGATTAGCAAACAGCAAACCAGTATAGACGCCATCCTTTGAGTGTATTCACAGTCAGTATGCGACAGTTTGCACTCATTATAAACATTTCGCAGTGCCGGTCATCTTCATTAGTGACAGGGCAGGGCATAACAAGATTTATCTCAATTTCACAATGCTTCATGGTTGTCGTTAGCCTAATTTCTCTATCAACAAAACACGCCTCATGTTCAATTACCAGCACTTGATAAGTATTACCATTCACGTCTCAAGCATAAAATGACACTCCACTATTTCCAAACGCTCTCCTCATGCCGGCATATGTTTATTATCGTACATTTTTGCCGTGATCGGCGAAATTGAAAATCCTGAAATAAAAAAAGCCCGTCATCGTCTCCAAAGTTTTTTTTTCTTTTACTGTACCTCACTCTTGATCGACGCGAAGAAAAAAACCCATGGACCGAAGAACTGCCTTTAATGAGTTATTTGACAAGCTTCAGGCCGAGTTTATCGATGAAATAAGGACGTATCAAATGCCTGATGACGCCATCGATTGGATTACCAGGGTTTGTAAATTCCGAGAGTGCAGTATATGTTTTCTCGTTCAGCTAATGTCTACTTACCAACGTGGATGTTTCAAGAGTAGATGATCAATCATACGGTTCCTGGCGGTAAGTCTTGCGACATATACGAAAGAAAAATAGCCAGTTTATCCTAATGCAAAATGATCTGTACGATTTTATCACAGGAAAAATGAATCGTGGCTTGTCAGTCGTCGATAGTTTTCTTGTCTTGAGCGGCGGAAAAGCTACAGAAGATGAACTTGTCAAAGCCAGAGTTCTAGGGTGGTGTGTCGAATGGGTTAGTTTTTTTTTGTTGAAAAAAAAAAGAACGTTCATATTGTGTGATTGGCATTTTTTTTCTTAATATCCGTTTCTTACTTGCGTTTTTAAAGCTACAAGCTTTTTTCCTCGTCGCCGATGACATTATGGACCAGTCAATAACCCGTCGTAACAAGCCCTGCTGGTATCGGGTGGTGAGTGTCTATCGCAATTGTAACCGATGCTTGGCGTAAACGACTAATTACTCAATATTAGGAAGGGGTCGGTCCTACGGCTATAAACGATTCTTTTATTCTGGAGTCTGCGATTTATTTCTACCTGAAAAAATACTTTCGTCAAGAGCCCTATTACGTTGATCTGCTTGAGCTATTCCATGAGGTATGCAGAATTGTCGCCGCTATTTCTGTTTTTTCTTGCGCAATGCGTATAAAAAGTGTCATGTCATTCCTTAATAAGAGATTCTTGGTTTACTAATATATACCGACACACAAATTGCGCCGAAATACTCTTCATCTTGTTATACGTAGGTTACCTTGCAAACTGAAATAGGTCAACTGCTAGACTTGATAACTGCCCCCGAGGATCACGTTGACTTTACGAAATTCAGTCTTGACAAGTATGTTGTTTTGACGTTACTATAAAGTCAACATCAAAGTTGTCTAATAACGAGCCTTTTCGGTTATAACAGATATAAAAAGATTGTTCTTTACAAAACGGCTTTCTATTCTTTTTATCTGCCGGTTGCTTCGGCAATGCGAATGGTGGGTAAATAAAGAGGGAGGGGGAAAAAAAGAAAAACACCGATCCAAGTTCAAAGTCTAACCAGACAATTTTTTCCAGTCCGGTATTACTTCTGAAACAGCATATCAACAGGCTAAAAGTGTACTCCTCCCACTCGGCGAGTATTTTCAAACACAGGTAATTTAACTTTTGTGTAGCTTTATATTTAGCGATTTGGCAAACTGTTTTATAACTAATTTGTCAATATGAGATAGGATGACTATCTTGACTGCTACGGAGATCCTGAAGTTATTGGTAAAATTGGTACTGATATAGAAGATAATAAATGCTCGTGGCTAATTAACAAAGCATTAGAAAAGGCCTCCCCCGAACAGCGCAAATTGCTCGAAGTAAGTCGCAGCTTTCTTGTAGTGGATAACGAAAGATGGGCGTTCCTAATACATTGTCTTTTTCCCAACTCAGGAAAATTATGGGAAGAAAAATGCAGATAGCGTAGCTGTTGTCAAACAAATTTACAAGGATCTCAAACTTGAAGAAAGTTACAAGGCTTACGAAGAAGAATCGTATGCGCTGGTTCGTAAACTGATCGATCAAGTAGATGAAAAGCAAGTGAAGCACGATGTGTTCATTGCATTCGTGGATAAGATATACAAGAGAACTAAATAGTTGTATTTCAAGAATGCCTTTGCTATTATTTCAATCTTTGGACGTTTGTCATTCATCTATCATTATTTATTTATAAACAAATTCACAATCTGAACCAACATGCATGCACGCCCCCCAGGTTCTACTTGGCGTTAATTTATCTTTAAACTATAACAGACGTCTCCGGACCGTCATCATTGTATTTGCTCGCCAAGTCCCAATAATGCTCAACCTTATACTTTCTCAAATGTTCACGTGCAGCGTTTTCGATTGGACATGTCTTGAATTTGAACCCTTTAAACGCACGATCTTTCACTTCACCTTCCCATATTAGCGAACACTTATTTACCTTTTGTGCTTCTTTCGGCTCATCGTCGACCATTTCTTCACTGCCCTCCCCAAGTCGTGTAGTATCTGACCAATCGATTCGTCGAAGCATCAATTTCTTGTAGAATTTAATAGCCTTTGGGCCACCCTCGACAACGACAATATTAAAGTTCGGGTTAATGATGACACAACCCGTAAGTCCCAATTGCTGAGCGTTCCTGTCGACTTTGAACTTCATCTTGGGGTGTGACAAATCGCCGACCCTATGGTGGTAGAAGTTGCTGTTAACCATGATTCAAGACAAAAAGTGTCAATAATGAAAAAAAAAAAGAGGGCCATACTTAAACGCGCAAACAAATGTGCCTTTTTTTGCATCATCATCCATTTTTCGTCTGAGTTTTTCCCGTTTCTGTTCTTCTGTCAGTTTTCTCTCCTCATTTGTCTTGAGATGTGTCTCTTGACGTTTTTGCATCTCCTTTCGAACTTGTGCTTCAACTTTCGTTGGATCCTGAATAGCATCATTTGTCAGGACTCGCATAAGATTGCTTAGTTTAACTAGTAAGGAATTAAAATGTTATTAGAAAATATTCCGGAATAAATAAATGAATCATGGATGATTACCCTTGGGCTGATCGGGCGGAAGTAATCCAAGACGTATTTTGTCCTGCTTTTCCTTTTGCAACTCTAATCGTCGTTGCCGTCGCAACTTCTTTTGCTCCTATAATATAGCAAAAAACAACGTTAGTAACGTCATTGTATAGAAACCCATATGCAAAAATATAAGCACCTTTTTAGTTAGCATCAATGGCTTAGGCGGCGGTGGGCCATGATCACCCGGAGGCTTTATCGGGACAGGATGTTGGACATACATCGTGACCAGAGAATCTTCGCTCTCTATCTTTGCATGACCAGCATCAATGTCGTCATAAGTTCTGTGGGATAATAATGGTACGTCCCACCATTCAACTGCGGGAGGTGGTTTTCTCTGTCAAAAACATGATTGCAAACTGTTTTTAGCGTATTACACTAATCATCAAATACAAACGGTTTTATCTCCTCACCTTTATTGCCTTATCCGAATCCAACTCTGCCTCAATGCCTGCTTTCTTTACATTCTGAGCAATTTCTTCCTTCAGCTTTTCAAGTTTAGCCTAAAACATGGCAAGGGTAATATACGAGATAAGATGTATGCATCTCCGAAGCCAAGATTCCAAAGAATGAGAACCAAACATACCTGTGCGCGCATTTGATTTCCGAGAGTTTCGAATTTACCTTTCTGTACAAATTTGAAGCGTTTTCGGACACGACGTTTTGGCGCAATCATACCAATGTTAGAGTCGAAATATGCGCTTTGGGTTATATCGTTCAAGTCCTCCGCGCGAGCTGTTACTTTCGTTTCTTGCTTAAATGCAGCAGGAGTTGCCCGTTGATTTGCCTGTTGAGGCGAACATACAATACATTACGTTCTGCAATTTGAAAGATGAAGATGCACATTAAACGGAAATGAGAATAATCTTGTTGACTATAGGCGTATATTAGATACACACTCACCTTTATAGTAGCAAAATTGGGTTTGGGAATGAGAGCTGCCGCTCGTTTTATGTCTAGTTTTCCACTTTGATCTAATAGCAGAGCAGGATGAGCCTCTACTTTTAAACCACCTTTAGCCTTGCTTGAATCATCAGCTGCTCTAGCCGCTGAGCTTGCTGAAGACTATAATGTTCAAATACGCAAAAATCAATATAGAGCTCTACAATACGTTGCGGGACGACTAGAATTAAAATCGTTGCTTACCAAATACGGATTTGTCTTCATTATAGTAGACTTAATCCTTTCCTTCGCTTCTTGAATTTTTCGTTGAAGGTCGGGATCGATACCCGACGTGGTCACCGGAGCTGTAGGAGCCGCAGGAGGGGCAACTACTGATGGCATCGTCTGAGGTGCTACTGGTTTTTGCTGTGTCTGTTTAGAGAATGTTGCTAGTTTCGCGGCAATCTCGGCCCGTTTCTGTGCGATAATAGCCTGGATCTAGCAAATGCAAAGATACATGACAGTTGACAGCATTAGCCATTGAATATTGCATGGAACGGTTAATCATAGAAAAATCGACTTACTTCTTCAGGACGAGGTGCGCCGCCAGGATTTGGAACTGGATCTGACAACGACGGTAGAAAGCTTCGCATGTTCTAAGAACAAGAACGAGTTTCAGAAACGAACGTGACGAGTTTATAAAGCATATTGGAAATTTCACTTACTTCGCCGTTACTACCAGTAGACAAATAGATTGTACAATCAATCAGCATAGGAGCAATTATAGTTGTAGACTATGCTTTACAATAACAAAAGTGGGAGAGTCTACCTTTTATGCTTCTTTGCCTCGATCTGCTTGCTCGACGGTTGGTCGTCTTCCTCACCAAGCAGGTTGGCCGTGCGGGATCGTTTACGTTCCATGGTGAGCCAGTACTAACTAGCTAGTCAATTCTGATTCACTAATTAAGATGGGAAATTTTTGCTTGCAAACAACACAAAATATTGTACAATAACTTATGTTGGTAGTATTCGGAAATTTTATTGGTATTAATTATTGATCATGTGACAATAAATAGTTTCTTATTTTGCAAAAGAAAGGCTCTTGTAAACCCAGCTTCCAGTTTGCACATATCTGTCATCTCTAGGGCCCGAAATTAACTCTTCTAGACTATTTTTAACAGGATCGTTTTCTACCCAGTCAAAGAATCGAAGAGTAGTTTTCTCGCCATTTTTGACCTTATCGCGCTGCCGTTGCTCAATCTCAGCCTTTGCAAACGAGAAATAAAAAAACGAGGTTATTTAAATACACTTAAGCACGACACCAGATTGATACAATTCAACCAACCTTAAGCTGTGACGCGGTAGCGAAATCACCTTCATTTATGGCCTTGGCGACATATCTCCATAATCTACGGCTCTCAATAGGATCTTGTTCGTCTTCGGGAGCGACTATCGGTTCGGCTCTAGGATTCGCCACATTAAAGAAAGGAATTTTCTTTCCATCAAGGTGGTTTACAAGAGTCGATTTACCATCCCAAACACCGGTAGCCGTGAACAGAGGATCTGTCGAATCGTTGGAGCGTATAACACCGGTGAACGAATGTTTTTCACCTGATAACCATCCCTTGCCACTGAATTCGATTTTGGTATTGTAGTTTTGTGATTGAATGTAAGATGTCCCACTAAAATTGAATAAAGTATTATAAAAGCCATTAGTTTTGTACTTAAAGATTGAATCAATCTTTACGAGGAAATGCAAACCTTAGTTCTACGTAAGGAGCGCCTTTCCATAGGCCAAGTATTTGAAGAGAGGGGAGCGTGATAAGGTATTGCTCTGGATAGTCACGCAAACGAACGATGATATGACCGAGTTGTATGACATCAATGCGCGCAGCAGTGGCCTTAAACTGACTCTTTTGTCCAGCTAAATAAGCGCCATTTTGTAAGCCAAAACTTTTATAATAAAAATGCGCGATCGCAATCATTATATAATGGGATACATACTATGACCGTTGGCAGAAATGCCAGCCTTCTGATTCTCGAGATATATTGCAGAGACTGGTGGGTGATGACTCACTTGCTCCGATAAAAGAACTGTTTCTCCACAGTCGTTTACATCTTTCCATCGGGCTATGAATTGCTCACCTGAAAGACGAATATAACGGATCAATTGTCTTCGCTTTAATTACAACGAAAAGCTTGCAATGTCATGTTCAATTAAAGTGAAGTTTACCTTACCGAGTATGGGATTAAACGGCTTTTTTTCTATCTTTTCTTTGTCCTTACGCGAAGCGAAGGAACCATACAGTGTGCTTACAAACCATCGAAGAACATTGACAGCTCTGTCAATTTCTATATTCGGCTTTGCAATATCGGCAAAAAGTTCAGGATAGTCTGCCCAATACTGCCTATTGAATGAAGTTAGAATAGGTCTACCATATGTGGACAGGATGTCTTTAAAAGACTGTGGGAACAAGTCTACCTACCCATACTCTAAAGTGGATACGCCAGATAACAAAAAGCTTGGACAAGTTAAGCTATAAATATCTCCTGTGAACGTGGAGAGAGTTTTCAAGAAACCACTCAGTTCAGACTTTTTTGCTCCATCACTATCGTTATCGGTAGTAACGTTATTGTTGTTGCTCATTTTTCAACGAAACTAAAGATCCAAGATCGATCAACTACGTTATATGTTGCCACGCCTCCGAATTTATGATGAACCTAGAGCAAATAAAGTAAGTTTTAATTTTATAAGCCATAGTAATAGCGTCTCTGATGAACACAAGAAGCATCAACATTATTTGCAGTGCCCCTGGCCCCTCCACATGACAATTTCTTACGAAGCATGTGATTTCATATATAGATAATAGTGCTATGCCTAATATAAAAACAATAGAAGAAAATACAGTTGACTCTGCCTATACCGAACCTGGATATACCAAACTTTGGATAACCGAACCAGAATCACCAGACCCGATTTTTCCTAATCAATAAATCCGATTATAACGCAAGCTCCGGTTATAACAAACTCTGGTTATAACGAACTAAAATTCTCCAGCCGGTCAGTTCGGTATAGGCAGAGTCAACTGTAAACACATTATCGTGAAAAAGCGTACCATTATAAACGTCTCGCTACGATAAGGAAGCTTTGATTAAATAATAATAAATCGTTATAATCAACGCATTGATTCGTAAATGAGTACATTCGCTAAGAACAAAACTTAAAGATGTTTCCGCCAGCTTGTTACCTTTAGTGGCAAACTTTCAATAGCTTTCTTAACACCATATCGCTAAGTGCTGATGATGTTAAGTGAATGAGAGATATTATTATTGTCTTTAGCGTGTACGAAATATAATAATAATTCAGCGTTCATAATTACTATTGTTGACTAATTTATTACACCAATTATCAATTAGTAATATCGTTAGGCTATGACTAACGTGCGAAGAGGTTAAGTTATTATTTTACATACTGAACTAAGAAAGATTATACGGAGTCGAACGTAAAGCTTAGCTAAACATTAATCTTGAATTGTTGCAAAGCGGGTATTCTGTATATTATAATTATGATTCATAATATAAATAATAAATAAGAGTCATTAACCACACAGGAAGACGAACATCATCCGAAAGAAAAACCTCAAAGTAGGTTTGACCACTCACACCAGATGTATTTCCTCAAACTTAATGATAACATACTAATACTAATATTAATATACCTCTTTTATTTTGTCTTTCCCAAAATGATCATGACTGCTAAATATAAACCCATAATAATAAGAATAAAATTATAATAGTATAACTCAATAATAATAAGCTATTATTTATCTCAACCATTCCCTTAAATAATTCTTGGTTCTCTTCTTATGCTTCTCTTTTAATATTAGTATGAAACAAGGCATCTCTAAAAATTGAGGAGTTTCAAAAAAATTTAAACATAATGTAAATTTATAATTTAAGAGTCAGAGAGGCATGCGATTCTAGAGTTTTTGCCAAAGCTGTTGCTCCTGTTGCTCCAATTTGATTAGATTGGAGATCCAAAAAAGCTAGAGAGAAATTTGATTCTAGAGCCTTGCCAAAGCTGTTGCTCTTGTATCTCCAATTTGATTATTATAAAAATTTAAAAAAGTCAGAGAGGAATTACTTCTAGAGCCTTTGCCAAAGCTGTTGCTCTTGTATACAGTGTGTAACAAAAAAAATTGGCCTCCATTTTTTTGTAATAGCTCAACAAATATTCGTTGAAATCAAATGCACAATAGCTTGTTTTAAAGCCTGAAAGCTAAGAATTTTATTAATATATATATTATAACACATTAATAATTAATTCGTTCGCCATTGCTATCAATTATCATCTGACAACGACGATTCATTGATAAAGCGAGATTCGACAACATAGAATTCGGTATTTTTTCCCATTCCTCAACTAAATACTGATTTAACTCACTAATATTCGCTGGTATCCGTTTTTCTACATTGCGTTTGACAATGCTCCATAAATTTTCTATGGGGTTGAGATCTGGACTGTTTGCTGGCCAGTCCAAAACTTCAGGGAAGGTCTCAGGAAGAAATTTTTTGGCAATGCGGCTAGTGTGTTTGGATCATTATCTTGTTGGAATCTCCATCATCTGCCAAGCATTCTCCTTATTTCTGAATAATGTTGACGTAGTAGTAAGTGCTATAATTTGAGTGACCAGCATCTATACTCAGATGGACTGATTATCCCGCAAGATCTAATGAATCAATGATCCTGTCTTCCAAAAACTTTCACTTATTGCATCATACAGTGCATCTGTTGTCCATATCAGGTCATCTGTTTGTACTTGTATTTTCCCTCGTATTCCTAATCCACATCCATGTACTCTTGTCCTTGTGATCTTCAGCTATTTTTAGAGTCATGTGGCTTCATTCCGTTGTCCCGATATGGTCATCATTTTGCACCAGTTGTGTAGGACATAAAATAAATAGTGTGACAATTGCACACGTTACATGGATAAGAATAGAACTGGATGATGATAACTAATATGATATTGATGATAATAATGCTAAATAAGCTAAGTATGAAAATATCTGATGATGCAATTTGAACACCCACTCGCATTCTGCCCTACTAAGTCTGATCCTAACTTAGAATAACCTCTTGCCAGCTGGTTGTCAGGTTATTGAAGAGTTGCTGTGATCTTCTCATTCTAGGGTTTGGCTCGTCTCTCCTAATTCCACTTGAGCCTGATTTCTATCATTGTACTTAATCAGTCTTCTCCTGGTTACCCATTTGTCAATTGCTCCTCCTAAGGTTTCTAACTGATATGCTCCTCTCTTTCCAACTTGTCTAATTTTGAAAGGTCCTTCCCAGGCTTGCTCCAATTTCTTCTTATGCACAGGTGCGTATAATAGCATGAGGTCACCAATTTCAAATGGGGTGGCTAATCCCTTATTGGCTTCCCACAAATTCTTCACCTTTTCTTGCTTCTTTCTAATAAGTTCAGCAGCTTCGATCCATTTATGATGTAAGTCTTCTAATTGTTGAAATCGATCTATTGGTTCATCGAGCAGTTCATCAATTGGGATGGGATATTTGTTTCAATTGGTAATTCCATGCGGTATCCAAAGAGTAACTCTGCTGGTGTTTTCTCAGTGGTTGCTTGTACTGATGCTCTATAATCCATTAATAGTCCCTGGAGCTTTTGGTCCCATTGATCTTTTCTAGCTCCTAACTTCTTTTTCAGCATTTTTACCAAGGTCTGATTAAATCTTTTGACTTGGCTGTTGGCTTGAGGATTTGCTGCTGTGGTAGGTGTATGCTTGATTTTCCACTTCTGCATTGTCCTTTTCCACAAATTGCTAGTAAAGGCAGTGCCTTGGTCAGTGATGAGCTGTTGAGGCTTGCCATAGACTGTGTAGATATCCTCATATACAAATTTGAGCGCTTCATCCGTATTAGTTGTTTTAGTAGGTTTTGCTATTGGCCACTTAGTATTAGTGAAGTAATCTTGGGCAACTATAATGTACAGATAGCTGTCCTTCATTTTGTGAAGCGGTCCCACATGATCCAGTCCTACTATACTATTTGAATATGAAATGGTTTTTCTGCTATTACTGGGTAAATATCCTTAGCCTTCTGTGGTTTCTTTTCTCATTGGCATTGATCGCAAGTTGAAATAAATGCTGTAACATCTTTGTGGATTCCAGGCCACCAGTATCTTTCCTTGATCTTGTTTACCGTATTTTGGACACTGAGATGTGCTGATTCATGGATTGACCATATTATTTCCTCGTGATTTGGGTGTTGGATTACTCTTCTCCAATTCGTTGGTCCTTTCTCTATAAACAGAGCTCCTCTAGTAATCTTGATTCCTCTATCAGTAAGTGCCTTAACCTTCAGTTCTTCATAGGCTGTCAGATCCATGGTTGGTTTGTGATTTATTAGACTTCTTTCTCAAATTTAGGATCTTGAGATAGGGCATCAGCAACTACATTCAAATTGCCTTTTAGATGCTGAACAGTCATGTCATACTGTTGTAATTCCATGGACCATCTTGCCATTCGTCCCTTAGGCTCCTTGGTCTTGATGATAGAGGTCAATGCTGCATGGTCTGTATAGAGGTTGAAATGCCTGCCATGTAAGTAGCGAAAGAATTTGCCAATTGCCCATATTACTGCCAATCCTTCTTGATTAGTAGCATTATAATTCTTTTCTGCAGAGGTCATTTGTCTTGATGTGAATGCTACTGCAAATTCCTGTTTCTGGTCTGGATCCCATTGCGATAAGACTGCTCCTAGTGCAAAATCAGAGGCGTCTGTGGTCAAGGTAAATTCGTGTTTCATGTTGGGGTATTTGAGAACCGCTGCGGAGACTAAGGCTTCCTTTAGCTCCTTCATCACATTGCTTTGTCATTGGGTTCCACACAAATTTAGATCGTTTTCTTATCAATTCCAACAATGGTGCTGCTTTGTGTTGATAGTGCAGTACAAATCGAGCATAATAGCCAGTCATGCCCAAAAATGTACATATTTGTTTGCTGTTAATCAGGGTGCCGTAATTCTTTATCACGTCTATTTTTCTGGGGTCTACCATTAATCCTTCTCTGCTGACCACATGTCCCAAAAATTCCAATTTTTCACATCCAAAATGACATTTCTTCATCTTCAACTTCAACCCATATTTCCTACATTTGTCAAATGTTTGCTTAATGTGTTCTAAGTGTTCTTCAAAGCTATGGGAGTAGATGCTGATATCATCGATAAATACTGCCATGTGCTTGTCGATTTGATCTCTAAAGATCAGGTCCATCATATACATAGACTGGAATGAGGCCAGTGCATTCTTTAATCCAAAAGGTAAGCACAAAAATGAATATAGTCCTCTATGACAAGTAAATGTGGTTTTATGCACATGGTCTGGGTGCATCAGTACTTGCCAATAGCCACTGGCTAGGTCGAGCACTGAAAAGTACTTAGGATTTGTACCTCTTTTCGCAATGTTGGAGAATACTTCATCTATGATTGGTAGTGAGTAGGGGTTTGTAACCGTGATTGCATTGAGCTTTCTATAGTCAATGCAGAAACACTTACTATTACTTCCATCTTTCTTTCCCACTACTACTACAGGTGCTGCAAATGGCATTGCCCTGGAATCTTCATTGGTGTCTATGTCTAATTGCTTGATAATGTTGGCTTCAAGCATTCGACTGACTTCTGCTTCTATAAAGTCTTCATTTTCCCAGGACTGACGATATCATTTTGAGAATGCTGTCTTGCCCTCTTCTGTATCAATTCAGTGATTGATGATGGTAGTTTGACCCAATTGCTTCAAGTCTGTGGCGAAAATGTCCTCATACTGACTCAATAATTCATTAAGGGCTTGATCTTGGTCTGGCATCAATTTCTTGAGGAATGGTGAAGGTTTCTCTTCTATTTTCTGTCCCGCTGCAATGGTTTCTAATTCGTGATCAATGGTTGGTACTAGTACTAGGACGATTCAAGTGATTGCTTGTCTGACTTGAGTACGTGATTGGAATGGGGCTATTACTGATACTTCTACCCACTGTTCTGGCTTAATTACTAACATGTTGACTATCCAGGTGACTGAGGGGTCTGCTGGTAGTAACATTGCAGTGGTGTTTGGAGGAAACTTGAGATTGATTCCTGTAGGTATTTTCACAGCTCCTAAGAGTGCAAGGTCTTGGTTAGAGTAGACTATATACCCATGGGATGTTGATCTAGTATTAGTATTACTGGATAAGGACGCGTTGAGTGATTGTGGGAGGCATATGACAGTCTTGTGTTGGATGAGTTCAACCAGGACCAGTAATATTAGAGCAGGTTTGAGTAGTGCAAAGGGATGCCGGAAGCTATAAAAGAACCCAGCCACCTTGATCAATTACTCCCCATCTTCAAAGCAAGTGAATAGCAAGTAACTCACTAAGCACAACAACAACAATCACTGAACAACACTCACATTTAACAACAAGCAAACAGTAGCACTTGACCTTCAACATGATAATGAGCAACTACAATGGACAGCAACAACAACTTACCTTCATCAACCCAGAATGTGGAACCAAAATGTATATCGAAACAGGAGTTGTGCCTGAACAACCCCTCAGATTCAACAGGTATAACAACAGAATGGATGCCTCTGATGATGACATTATGTCGATCCCCAAGTTCTATCCTCCAAGACACTACAGGTACATTGACGGTAGAAGATACTTCTTGGTTAGACGCTGCAATGATGGATACCTTGCAGCAGGATTCCTCAGTGAACGGGTTAGGCAGTGCCTCAGAAACAATCCTCAGACCTGGGAAGAGCAATGCACTAACATGGCCATTAATCAGTGGGAAGGAACACGAGTTAGAAAAGTTGACTTCTGGTTATGCTACTTACCCTTCCTCAGCCAACCTGACTTCGAACACAGACAAATTGACTATGACAATGGCATCACCTATTATCAACTCTCTTACAGACAAGTGGTGGTCTATGAAAGCAATATCAGAGACACAATTGATACCTGGAATAATGTCCGAACAGATCAATGGACAGCTGAAGCTCAACAAAGAGTGGCAACCTTCATCCACAACACTATACATGGATGGACCCAGCCACAACCAAGCCACCAACCCGGTACCCCTGAATCATACCACCCACCATCACCAACCCATCAACAAATCAATGATGCAAGAGAATATAGCGTCACCAATGAACCACCAATGGATGACAATGCCAGTGATGCCAGTGATGCAAATGTGAACGCGATGGGGGGTTCTTCTCAGCATCGCTTCAGTGATGGGCTCCATGTGACTAGCGCTATAAACTAAAGCATAATAGCCGTCTATG